GCAAATAGCGTCACGGCAGAGAAACGGAAAATGCGAAAAAAAATGAGATGCAAGCCTACATTTACCATTGTTATCATTATAAATAATCGTTATCTTTGTTAACTACAAACGTTCATGTATTACGGTTTGTTATAGATCAGTACTCTAAGATCGAGCAAAGTTAGTACTACATTATTAACCTTAATAAACTCTTCAAAAGATTAAGCTAGATTAGCGAACGGTTACTCTTCTTGGCAGAAGAGTATGATCCTTTTTGTACTACTTTTTGAAACGCGTTATGTGCTATATTTAATTTATTTGACTAAACACTGAACATATAGAAATCACCTCGTAACAGTTTCATTTCAAATGTTATAAAGTATATTCATACATCTGCACACACAGGAAGCAAAGAAATAAAAGTTTAACACAATAATCTATAAATGGATTCCTTCGATCCTCGAAACCAATAGCAGCGGATATGACTACAATTGCGAGAAGCTTTTCTTGCGCGACTTCAAAATAATCATACGAAGAAAAAAATTAAAACCTGATATGAGAATAAGGCAACATAAAACCATCAACAGAATGTAAGTTATCGAAGAAATTAGTTCTATCGGCGATTCAGTTGGCAAAGTATTCGTTGCATTGAGGATGAATCCAAGCGGCCACGTGACCTTCTCACCATCGATCTTAAGAGTGAGTTTGACGAATGAGAACATTTGAAAAATCTTACCTGATCGATATACTGGATATGATTAAAGTTATCCTGATTAATTCCGAACGCCCGAAGGAGCAACAGTGCATATGCCGCCTCTGCGCAAGAGTAGCCAGAGCTGGAAACTACTGACCGATGTTGCCCCATGCGTGAAGAGGAAAAGCGACATAATTCTGAAACTCTCTTATTGAAATCCTCAAAATCGCAATTACTGGTGCAGTTGAGAAACGAGAAAATGGCATAGAAACTCCCCGAGGCCTAAAAACAATAAATACATCACAAATACCACTATTTTTATCCCACCGCAAGCTTTATTTCCTTCTGAGAGCTATTCAGAACGTTTTGTGGACAACTACCAATGCAACTGTCGTCTTCAAACAGTTTTCCGAGGTAATCGGAGCAAGCATTTTGGTCGCACGTCCCATTAAATGTATATTCAGACACTTCAAACTAAAGAACTAGTACATAAAATCAATAAATAATCATACATGCGATAAATAGCAATAAACAGAAAATTCTTGAAACAACTTGTAGAAGAACCTTCAAGGTGCTTTGAAAATCTTTGATTGCGGCAGTGAGAGGCTGATAATTATTCAACTGTGAAGCAAAAATAACAAAAAAGAGATTAGAGTATGATGTGACTTATGATCCACGTGCCATCCGTAGTATTTTCAAGCTGTTTCGTTAAAACAGCGTTCGGAGAGGGCTTGCTTCGTAGTTCCGATCACAGGTCATTAAAATAACAAGGCACTGCAAATACGTTTGAAGTAAGGCTGAGTGGGCGTCGGGAAGATGATCATTATGCAAGCTACAAGAATTGAGTTACACCGTCAAATCAAGTAACGGCAAGAAATACGACAGAGAAGGCAAAGAAGTACTACATCAGTGGGCAGTACAGTAGGTATGGCAGTCAAATCCAAACCTGTTGCAATATTTAAACGAATGCTAACAAATGGCAGCTAGATGATTCATCATTTGTTGCGAATTAAACTAAGCAAAAAGAATTTTTCTAGGAGAGATGTATTATTTTGTTATTTGTTATTATTCAAGTTCACGCAGAAAACTGTTATACCAAAAAGCCTTGTGCCAAAGAGTAATAAGGTGCCAAATATTAGTCGACGACGCAGCTCACAGAAGGCAGCGATATTTTAAATAGACATTGAGTATGAGCACACTATACGGCTGACTGACTGTGCAAGTTTTTAACATGCTCTCACTGAAAGTATTTGCAAGGCGGCTATGGGAGTAGCGTACAAGTCGGCACCAACAAAACAAAATTTATGAAAGCACTCACTGCGGTTAAAAACTAAAGGAAACGTTGAAATGGTGCAGCGTCAGAAGAGAAGTTATTTCACTTGTCATGGAATAGTAAGGACTAACGATGATTGCACTGATAGTAAAGCCAGCTGACAGTAGCACAAAAACGGGTGCAAGTGAATCGCGAAGCTGTATGAAATATAGAAATGAATACTGACAAATCACTGGATAGGCATGGAAATGAAGTTCATACTTGAAGGTGCAAACCTTTACTGTCTCGAGAGTCGTGGAACCTGGTAAGATTATATGCGTTTGTCCGAACTCAAGACAAACAGCTGACTTGGTTTACTGCAATGGCCCAAAGAGAGTTACATGTGTTCCCTTCGCAGGAACTGCTTACCGATCACAAATCCGTTGTAGGACAATATAAAATCTGGTAAAGCAAATTAACCTAGACTTCCTTTTAACGAAGAATGTCACTCTTGCCTCAAAAGCACACAGGCCACATTTCATAAATGTCATATGCAAGAAGTCCGCGCAGCTTTGCTAGCTTTACGTGATGACGAAAACAAATGCTGGACTGATTACCGTTTCACGCAATGTCAAAGAGCAAAGATCATTAAATATATCCTTGCGGCTATAAGACGTGATGGAGCCGCACGGTGAACACGGATCAGCGATGATCGAAGAAAAACTAAAATAAAGAATTCACATAATTATGGATGAAAAAAGTTCGAGATACTTTGCATCCAGGATCAGCATACTTCTGTACCTCACCATAGCTTGGTTGAGACCAAAGCAGAGAAAGCTCTGGCCATAAATGTCGACATCTTTGCCGAAAAGTTCCACTGTCTCTGAGAAGGACGACGGGTGCGACGTAGGAAATGCGATACTCGCGGAAGTCTCGCCGAGGTTAAGTAGGCCGAGGAAGTCGCTGATTTCCCCATTTTGTGAACTCTGAGTAACAAAATGTCAACAGGACCAATGAAGGCTTCAATCAAATCGTACAGATATGCTTTTCCTGAGGTAATTTAAAGATATCCATTCATCTACTGCCTGAGTGTGACCAGAGATGATGGACGCGGATTTAAAGGCAAAGTTGTAAACTTTAATCACATCGCGTGTCGAAGAAAATATTTCGCAACTGGCACCGGGATCCTTCATTCTGAAAGCATAATCACACATTAAAAAATCGAACGTCTAGAAAACAGCTCTACAACGATATCTTACTTTAAAAGATGCATCGCGCTTCCGGCTCCCAAATAAAGATAGGTAAACGCTTTCCGGTTCGAGGGAATGGTGAGAGCGGCATAATTCAAACATTTACCCAACAAAGAAAAAATTCCTGACAAGTTGTCAGCAAAAGAAGCCAATCCGCCTTCTAAAAAAAGTAAAAACGAAATCTGAAACTAAGAAAAGTGCATTCTCGTGGGCAAATAAATAAAATTTCCCATTAACAACTCATTGAATTGCAACTGTTGATGAGTGCAATCGATTTGAATTTGCCACCATTCAACCTCACGTCTTTGATGGTCCTGCGCTTTACTCCTTCAAGTACCAAACCTGCTTCAATATACCTGTGTTAAAATACGCGCTGCCTTTTTTCATGCTGTACATTCAGATATCCGAAAATAGGAGAACAACTTTTTCAACCATTTGGAGGAGGTAATGCGATTTACGTGCGTCATTCGCTTAGCGGAAGTATCACCAATATCACCCAGTCGTTATCTGTAGCTTTATAATAAGTTTTATTCATAGCGTAATGGGATCGATGCCTGCTCATGTACGCTGCAAATATCTGATAGGCAGTAAAAACTAAGACTGAAAACATCGGTACCATGTTCATGTAGAAAATCTAACTAGCGTAATCAGCATTGG